AGAGAGAGAGAGAGAGAGAGAGAGAGAGAGAAAGAAAGAGAGAGAGAGAGGAGAGAGAGAGAATATGTCAGTGTGAAAAAGTTAATGAGAGTGAGCGAGCTGGGTGTTCATGAGAAAGAGTAAGTGTAAGAGCAAATGTTTGTGAGACTGGAAGCAAGCAAATGAATGAGTGACTTTGCAAGAGTAAATGACAGTACAAGTGAGAGTGAGCAAGAGTGAGAGTGCAAGAATGAGAGGCAAAGGGCAAGTTTCATATCTTCTGTTGTATTCCTTTGTTCAACAAGCATTAAGCAAACAATTTACAGATTCATTTAGCAAGTAGTACCTCATCAAGACTCTTATAATTCTATCAAGAACTTCTGTCCAACAAAATCAAGAATGACTTATAGATGGCTCACACATGCTTTCTTAAAGGTCAACAAAGGTTTCACTCACTTCGCCGTATTCAGGATGTTCAACTACTGTGCCGTTGCATGCAAATTCCTTTTTGCAGGCACGGACAATCTTCTTCAGATCATAGTCTGAAGAAAGACCTTGTACCGTTGTGAGCGTCTTTCGGCCATTGCGCTGCTGTATTCTGTTAAGGGAATATACATTTAGTCACGTCTCTATCTCAATTTCTCTTAAATAATCATTAAGGATAGGTAAAATATTCATGAAGGATCAGTATAATGAACTAAATACTTTATCACAGGCATACCTTATATGCACAAGGCCATCCTGGACACCCTCGTCTGTCCCACGTGCTGCATCAGCAAAGGGGTCTGAAAAATTACAAAAATGTTAAATCACTTTGCAAACCAAATTAATTTTGAAAAGTACCTTGAAAATCCGTTTTTAGCTTTGATAAATTTGTTACAATGAACATATCAATTATCAAGCCACAACTATTCAACTTATGAAGACAAGTTAATATAGGTAACACAAAGCTGCATTACAACTCCTAAAACATTTGAACATCTTTTAAGCGATACACTTCGCATCTTATATTGGTTGGTCTAAAATATGCACTATTTCTATACTGCAAAAATTATCCCCACATATTTTGTGTCCTTGTTGAACTACCCATGTGGTCAGTGTGTCTGCCTTTGGGCTGCACCTGAGTATCTAGAAAAGGATTCATCTGCATGTGCATATAGTGAGTGAGTGAATGAGTGAGAATCAGAGAGTGAATGAATGAGTAATACATGTCTAATACATCTTACCCAATTTGCTTGTGCACCTGTTCATTATATTCATAACATGATATACAAGAGCTAACATGGTCTGGTAGTGTCTAGTTCTCCTGGTAACAAGTTGCCTAAACCTTGATTCAACGTCAAGAGATCTTGAATTTCCTCACTGGTTTTTTAACAAAATGTCTACCAAGTCATATTAAATTAACCCAATGTCGCCAGAAAAATGTTGCGTTCACTTTTGCATTTTTGTTATACGTTTATGAATATAGATGGTTCTGCCAGTGCTTAGCCAAAAAGGAGTCAATTAGTAGACCCCACTTTCCTTGAAATAGCAGGATTTTTTTTTTTTTTTTTTTTACTCACTGGTAATTTTTTTTTATTATAAACATTATAATTACTATATTGTTATTGACATTGTTAACAATGGTATTAAATACTAGAAAATATTATTGAAAATCAAGGAAAAGTGCTAACAGGTGAGACAGGTTCTTCATTTAACTAGCTCATTAGTGACCTAGAACTTGTAGAGAATATATGTAAAAACAATTACTAAATTCAAAACACATCACGCATGGCATGTATGCACATTCCATTCTCATCGGAATGTGGTTAAAAAGACTGCATTTTCTTGGTTCTGGCCCAATGTGAAATTCTGTTTGTAATTATGAAACCTTGAAGACCAAATACTTCACAAATAATACAAATGTAACAAACATATATCCTGTTATGTTTCATAATTGGCAGTTTTCTGAAACCTCTCATGATAACCTTATGTAACATATGCAATCACTTACCAAACCGCGTGTAATATATGCACACACACCAGATCCATTTCTTTACCCAAATGGCATAAATACCTGAATAGGTTGTTCATGTAGATGGGAAGAAATGCCTTTGATAGTATATATTTGCTTGTATTACTGACATTAGATCAGTCCTATCTTACCAATGGTAAATGGCCTACATGCCACACCCAAGTGTCTGCTACTGGCCATACAGTCTTTGGCACTCTGATGGAGACTAACCAACCAAAACAGATATATTTCAGCGTGATAGAGCTTGTAATCCTCCCTGGCAATTTAATGTCAAATGAGAAACCAGCACAAAAGCCTACTGGCCTTAATATACATGAAGGCTGTAAGAATGCCAAAAGTGCAAAGCCTACGAGTATTCACTTACATTATATGGCACACATTATAACAGTGAAAGCCTTGTATTACATATAAATCAATTTTTGAGAGGGAGTAGACAGAACACAGCAAATATCACGAGGAAAAAAAATTCTGAAGACAAATGAAGGTGAACCGTTACTTGTTCTCATTCTATTTCATTTTTTTCCCCCCCCATCAACCTAAAGCCGCTTACCATTAAAGGGAGATATGAGGTAGGATTTGTACAGAATATAGCAATGCAATAATTAGGGCTAAAAGAAGAAAAAAGGGGGGGGAAATCTTGTTTTCTTAGGTCAATTTTTGGGGGTATGTTTCCATGAGATAGAGGAAATAGGAAATACCAGGAGATAAAGGGAAATGGACATCGCCATCTTATAGAGCGTCAGAAATAGAGAAAAAAACAAGCTTGGTACAGCTGCAACGGCCTCATATTCACCGATAAATGACAAAAATACCCCCTGCATATCACGGCTCAGAGACCAAGTCCACAACATCAAGTTCTTATATTTATTTTCTATAAGTTGGCACAAAGTGCTAATAAATGGGGTTTACAGGGGGGGTGGGGGGTTCCCCTTGTCTAGGAAATAAATAGAAGGTAGGATAGGTTAAGTTGGGTTTTTGGATTTGCATGATAGTCTGGTTTTGGGACTATGGACATATGCTTGTGTAATGCATATCCGTTCTGAGCACAATTTTCATATACTATAATCTTCACGATTGTAGGAAGTCCGAACTTAATTTGTTCCTATCCTCTTGCATTATTTTGGTATACCAGTTGATTTTTATTGTATTATTCCTTAGTAGAGGATTTTGTACTTCAAGGAATGGATACCACAATTTCTTTAAGCATATGACTGTTAGTTTCTGGAAGGTGAGTTGCTCTCAGTAACAATTACCTTTTACTGAGCTATGAATTATTAATTCAGACACCAAATCTATACACTAATGAATGACTGAACTATTTCATCAATACTGAAAAGTCTCTAAAACTATCAAGTAAATCATTTATTAGTTGAAGTATTTATTCAAGAGCCTGAAGTCACAAAACTGGTAATAATTATAATGGTACTACATCCAGTGATCTAATTGTCCTTATGCTTACTAGAGCTCTGGCAATGGCCAACACCTCTCTAACTCTGGAGGGGGGAGGGGGGAGGGGGGTTATAAAGGGTTGGGCCCTCTAAAAGCAGGATACAAATCTGTGTAGTTAGTAAAAATGGTTAATATTTATGGAATGGACTTGCTCAGCAAGGGCAAACTGAAGATGGTATTCTTGTAAAGGATAAAAAGTTGTAGTCATAGATATAGGAAATCATCATAGGTACAAGAAATAATCTATAGACACGAAAGATATGCCATAAATAAAGGAAAAATATTGCGGAAAGCACCACTCATAGTCTAAGCCCACTCAGTGCCCCCGAGTTACAACACTCTCTTGTCCTGCCTACTTAGGGGTTTAGGGGAAGTAATTGTTTTCTAGGGAGCAGGGGGGGGGGGGCAGAACCCCTATCAACCCTCCCCTCAGACACTTAAGAGTGAAAGTATGTCCTTACTATTAAGAATTACCATAAAAATTATTATTCAAATTGAACCCTACAACTTTCCTGGTACAACTTATGTCCCATCCTCCGGCATTAAATGGAACACAAGAAATATAGTAAAATACAATTTAGGTAACATTTATCACAAAATGAGGAAAATATTTGCTGCCTGTGACCACTCAGTGACTAAGTCTACAATACCCTGCTTACAACCAGAGTTTGAAATGTCCGTTTACTAAAAGTTGCCAGGAAGTGGCAATTTATAGGGGTATGGGGGGGGGGGAGACTTGCCACCCCCCCCCCTATATATGGAATAAATAAAAGGTAGGAAGTTTAGGTTTGGGTTTTGGGGTTCACACAATACCCTGGTTTTGGGACTTAGTCTCTGGAGGGTGGGTCACTCAAATACTCCATATTCTTCTCCCTTAATTCTTGTACCAATAAAAATAGTTCAATTTATTACTGAAGAAATTATTTTATTCATAATAATAAAAAGAAATCTTTTGTGCCTGTCTGTAGACTTAAGCATACTCTCCTGTAAAGACCAGTTCCCTCTACTTCATCATGATAAATCACAAAGAAATGCACCCATCTGAACAAAGAACCTGAACTATCAGATCTTCATTAACTGCATAAGGTATTACTATGAGTATTTATGAAACAGGAAGCACCATTCATGTACAAATTTTACACACCTTACATTGTCTCTGTAGGCCTATCTTTGCTTTACAATTCATGATCCCATATGTTGCAACCCTCGAGACAAAATCATTGACCTTAAAATATTTATCTTCACGAATTCATGGCCAATGCCTTCTTTCGTGGCAATTCCCCACCGAAACTCTTACGACTATCTGGTAGGCCTATCTACCCCATCCACCACTCAGGGCGTGGTCCCTTGTTGTCCCCGGCAGCTTTAAGATGTAATTCCAGGTCCCAAATGAAGAGAACCCGACTTATAATCCCCCAGCTGACCTACATGGAGGGTGGGTGACCTTAACACTAGGAGGGACCCCGAGATTCTTCCTGGTGCTTACGAAACTTAGGAAATAGGTGAAAAATTCAGGTTCACAAGGGAATAGGCTTTTAAACTGCTTCTATAGCATTTA